TTTTCAACACTCTGGTGCACTCAAAAAGCTAATTCTTTTATGTTTTCAGCTTTCTCAGGCATGAGTCTGGGAGATGTTCTTGAAATAGTTATTCTTATGAAGATTTATAAATCACTACTTTGCGTTGGCTGAATTCTCCTGTGAGATGGGAGAATTGAACTGTTTCATCTTAATGTGATACCTCATGTTAGTGCCTCTGGTCTTGGATTAAACTTGAATTCAAGACTTGTTTAATAAAGGAGAAGGTTGCTTTGAGGAGAAAATAAGATTAATTTCCTTCTCCCCACACTCAAAATGCGAGTTAAAATCTTTCATGTCTATTTTGCTCTGAAGGGGTTTGCACTTGCAGGTGATTTGCCATAACACAAAGGCTTGCTATTCCTGCTTCAGATTGTTCCAAGCAAATTACTGAAGAACTAGTGATTGAGGAATAGGCTTTGAGGTTTTGTCTCAGTTGGAGAGTCCCAACCTGAATGATACTGGGTTATTTTCTGAGTTTCCAAAAGTGCAAGAGAAAGTTGCTCTTTGCAAAGTCTGTGGCCTTAACTGTAAGCCAATAGAAATATTTGAGGACTTACTTTGCTTTTAAATTTAACTTGAATAAAATTTTAAAAACAAAATTGGACACTCTACCACATTTGGTAAGGTAGGTCCACTTTGCAGTGTATTTGTGCTGTTTTGCACAAGTATCCTGAATTTACTTGAGGTTGCTTATTTTTTTATAAAATACAAGCCCTACTGGTAATTGTTACTTGTGTGTGGCTCAGCATAGCTGTAGGCGAGTGGCAAGTGTCTTCAGCTTATTTTCCATTTTTTTTTGTCCTATCCTACTTCTCCCCTGCCTCAGCTGGGCATGTTGTAGGTGCTGTTACAACACAGGTGCCATTTACATATCAGGTAATGAAGTGTCAGCTCTCAATTCCCAGCACATGCATCGCTGGTGGGATGGTGGCCTCTGCTGCAGGAGATACAAAGTTAGTCCTCCAACTCCTAAAAGAACAAACTGGTCTGATCACTTGGGAGCTTTGCTTTATGGCAGGTTTAGTTCTGTGTCCAGATCTGGCTTTGTAACTTGCATTTGTCTCATGCTTTGGCCTACTTGAACAAAGGAAATAGAGCATGGCTTCCAAAAATGTCTTGATTCTTAAAGAAAAGAAGGCTTGTAGATGAGCAATACTTTCTTTAAGCTTGAGTCCAAATTGCAAAATGAGTTTTGGGCTGCAAGTAATGTTTTGCTGTTGTTTTTATTTTAGAATCCTGTTTTAGTAGTGCATTGCACTTCGGTTTTGTGCATGTGGAGCACAGTGAGTTCTTACATATCCTCAGAAAGGCTTGGACTCTGTTGAACATGCATGCTTGGGAAAAGCCTCAGTTCCGTGGGAATACGTGAGGCAGACAGAGCTAGCCTGCAGGGGAAGGGCCCTGGGAGGAGCCCAGGGCAATCCCATCTCCTGTCCCTGCTCTGGAGGATTTGCTGTATGAAATCACCTCGTGAGTGAGCAGGGAGTCATTCTGAGATCCATGGAACTGCGTGTACTGACACGAGACTAAAACTGCTGCTGCTTGGTGCCTTAATGCTGAACACTAAAATGTTTGTGCCAGCTTATTTCAGCTCAAAACTCAGAAAAGAAATCTCTGTAAATGCCTGGGTGGTGCTGCTGAGCACTGGGTTGCCATCAGTCTGCCTTACCCCCCTGTTTTAGTGCAACACTAGAAGAACAGCCCTGCCTGTTCTGCTGGGTTTGACAAAACAGAAAAAGGACAGTCAGTGTCAGAATGAGCCCAGTCTGCTTCAAGGAAGCAGCTTTTTTCCTGGTTTTTAGGAGGATATTTAAGAATTTGATATGAATTGCAGTGCAGTGCTTCATCTGCTAAGGGAGGCAGTGTGAGAACTGTGGATCTCCTTGCACTATTCAGAAATGCACACAACTCTCACTCCAAATCCTGTGTTAATGGAGTTAATGAACAGTGAGACAGCTGCTTCCATTGATGTCTGTGTGAAAAGGCTTTCAGGGGAATGGAAATGTGGCATCCATGGTGGAAGTGCTCTTTTACTAAGTTCAGTTGCCTTTGCCAAGTGCTGCTGTGCTTTGGCAGCTGGCTTGGATCCACCTGTGCCTTTGGGATGGCTTCTCTAGGGCTCACTGGGACACTGGACTTGGGGCTGGGATTAAATGCACATCACTAATGCTCCTCACTCAGACTGACTCCAGCATCCTTCCTCAAGCAATCTGAATTTGGGGATCTGTCAAATTAGAGGATGCTATTTTTATCAGTACATTCAGCATAGTTTCAGTATCTCCCTCACTGTGTCCTTTACATGTTGAAATTTGTTTTTTGTTGAAATTTTTTTGGATACTCCCCATTAAATCTCTTCAGGAGCTGCCACATGAGAAATCTATGCTGTGTAACTATTTGTACTGTAAAGAAAGCAGTGAGCTGCCTTTGAACTAAATGGGATTTTCAGATCTGTCTGTTGTTTTGGATTGTCTTAAGAGCAAGTATCTGCCTTGTGAAAAGCAGAACTGGTTTGTATTGTAACAAGTGCTCTTTCAATAAACTATGAAATACTCTTGTAAGTGTCAGACTTGTATCAGTGAAATGGAAATGAAACTTGACTGCAGGCTTGTCCTGCTTTTATTTTTTATCTTGGGGTTGGGCTTGTTCCAGTGGGGTTATAAAGGTTTCTTTAATTGTTCCTCAGTCTGATTCTAAGTTCATCCACCCTGGTGTTTCTGCTGTTATGTGGAATGCAGCAAAGCAGACTTGTGTCCATCTCAGCTTATTTAAATTCAGTATAAAAGAAAATGAGAGCTTTTTGTAGCACAAGGAACTGTAAACCATTCCCGTCTTCAGTGCTGCCCCATTGTACCATCCTGTGTGCTGTTTGTCTGAATTCTGGAAAAACACAGAGCTGGCTGTTCTCCCTTTATTTGCCCATTGAAGGCAAAAGAAATGGACTTTTCTGTGCACCTCAAATGCAGGGGAGAATCACACAGCAGCACCTTGGCAGCCATCACGTCCCAGCTGCTGTGGGTTCTGCTTTAACTGCTCCAGTCTGGTCTTAAAGAGCTTTGTCTGGTTTGAGTGTGTGGGGTCTGGGTTTGTTGGTGGGTTGGGCTCTTTTTCTTTTTGTTTCCCCCAGTCCCCCATTTCCTCTCCTGCTTTTCAGTTTCTCCAGAAGAATCTGGAAAGATTCTACTAAAACTGTACTTGAAGAGCTTTCCATTTCTACAATTTAGCTGCTCAAAATGACATTATCAGCTTCAGACTACAGGAAAATAAATTACTTTGCCTTTCCTTGCAAGTGAGAGAAGCTTATTTGTGTCACTTTGCAGCTCACCAGTTTTATCTAGGTTTCAAATGTAATAGCATTATCTGCATGGATTGGGGGAAATAGATCAAAAAAAGTGCCTTTGTGTTAAAAAATGCTGGGCATTTCAAAAGAGTAGATAAGTCTGATACTTCATGAGAAGTCTCATGGAGTCTAGAATAGATTTTTGGTGAATCTAAGAATTTCAGAATGAGTATCAAAAGAAAGGATATGTATTTGTTTTGTTTGCAGTACTTAGCTGCTGGGCTGAGGTTACTTGCTGTGGCAGTAAGTAGCCAACTTAGGGTGAATGGAGCAGAAACAACTGAAGAAGGAGCATTTTAGCCACATTAAATACTCAAGAGGAAATTAGAAAATGAAAATGCAGCCATCATATGAAGGCCATATGAAGTTCAATTTTGCTCTCAGGGGTTATTGAATTTGTGATGTTCAAAATCCTGCACTTTCTAAGGGCACAGCTACCATTTGTTAATGCTGCTTTCAGAAAATACTACTTGTGAACCTGAAGCAGTGTTCTGGAGATGTGTCTCCTTTCCAGATGGAAAGCCTTTCTGACTGAAGCTGACACCAGCGTGTTGTGGATAAGTGATGCAGCTCTTTAGTGGGATGCTTAAGGGGGATGGGAGGAAAATGTAAACCTTTTATTCTGTAGCTCTTGGACTTAAGAACCTATTATTGCAAACTGGGCACTGCAGAAGAATTTTAGGATTTGGAACTGTGGAAGAGAAAAGGTTGGAGTACAAGATGAGTGCCTTCAAGAATTCTCCTTAAGAACTCAGCAATGCCCTTAGTGAATTGTTGTAGTAACTCTTGTGTAAAAATCTTGAGAAACCAATTTAATTTGTATAATAATATGTCAAAGGTTTATCTTAAAAAAATAAAATACCCTAGTGGGATAGGCTTTGAGACCAAGAACACTGTGACAGGTCTGTTCGAACTTGTATTTGTTTTGCCAGCAAATAATAAAAGGCTCATTAGGTTTAAGTAGCATTTATTTCAAGGCACGATAAGGTCTGAACAGGAAGAAAATGCCTTTGTACCAGAAGCTGTTGCTGAAGTGTTCCTCGTGGGGAGGCCACTGCACAGACTTCTCTGCCAGTGCTGTGGTGGTTTTTATCTTCTGATGTCTTAAGCACACATGTGAGAGAGTGCTGCTTGCATGCCGTGGGGAAAATCTAATGGAAAACAAAATGCTTCCCCCACTAATATTTGAAATTAATTTTTTTTAACAAAAAGGCAAATTAGTGGTGCTGTTAATCCTTCTGTTTGAGAAAATGAAGGTGAATAATCCTCCCCTTTCAAATTTATTTTTGCATTTTTCTCTATTTCTGCCTCTTTCCTACCCCTCTGAAAGCAGCAGGCAGCCTCCAAATAAAATCCCCTTCTTCCTGTCTTTAGCAAAAAACCCACCAAAAGAACATCCTAAAGCTTTGCCTCTTCTGGACACTGTGTACATGTAAATGTGATTTTAGAGACCAGCTCTTCTGTCTGGTGTTGGCCTCTGTGTTCTCTTTCCAGGGGGGTTGCCCTGGAGCAGTGCTGGTGTGTGACCTGGGAGCACTCTGCAGTCTGCGATCTGTGTCTGTCACTCCGAGCTGTTGGTGTCTCTCAGCTTCCTCCTGGCTCTTGTCTGTCCTCCTACACAGCCTCTCCTCTCTCCCCACAGGACTATGAGAGCAAACTGCAGGCCCTGCAGAAGCAGGTGGAGACACGGTCCTTGGCAGCTGAAACAACAGAGGAGGAGGAAGAGGAGGAGGAAGAAGGTGAGTTTGAAGCTACAAATAATTTGGATGTAGCCTGAAGTCTAAAGGAACAGCTGCTGTGTCATCTCGTAATAGATAGAAAACTTGCTTTGGAAAGCTGCAAAACACTGCAAGTTCTTGATCTGTAATCCCCTCAGCATCAAGATTTAAATACTCATTTATAGAATACATTCCACATGAACAGTAGGCATACGTCTTCAAACACAGCACAAACTAGATTAGTTTTACCCAAGCTTTGATTTGGTGCTCTTGAAGGAATCTCTTCCTGGCACTAATAGAGCTCAGATGTCTTAAAACAAAATAACACTGTTGCCTTTGTTTCCTTGTTTTAATCTTGAAGTTTCTCTTTCCTCCTTGCTAGGAATTCTTAGAATGCTGTGACATGTCTGTATAACTCCATTTCTGGACAGTAGATAATTTATTATTCTCATTATACTTGCTCTCATTCCTCTCTTTCAGCATTTGGCTTTAATAATTGCCAAATAACCTAAAATAACAGGAGCAGAAAAAGATTTGTTTCCTCTGTTCCAAATCTCATTTACATGATCATTAATCTCCACTGCAAATGTTGAGGAAGTTTGAGTCCAGTTTTTCCATGATGAATAATTAAAATGTAGGGTTTTGTTTTCTGCTCTTCCAGAAAATGTGTTGAGAGCTTGATGGCACAGTCAGCAGGAGTATTGGAGACTGCATGTGATGGTTTTGAGAGGAAGCCACATTGTTTTATTCCTCTGTTTCTTTGCCCTTCCCAGTGCCCTGGACACGCCATGAATACGAACTCGCCCAGTGGGCTTTCAGGAAGTGGAAATTCCACCAGTTCACTTCCCTGAGGGACCAGCTCTGGGGAAATGCAGTGTACCTGAAGGAAGCCAATGCAATCAGTGTAGAGTTAAAGAAAAAGGTAGAGCCAGTTTTTGAGTTTTCTGACCCATCAGTTTTGATTGTATGATCCTGCTGTAAATGCTCTGAGTTTCTTGTAATTGCATGTCTCTTGCTTATCAATTTGGGCTGTAAAAGGGTTCAGAGAACTGTGACTCCTTGATCTGGGCTGTCTGGGTGAACGTCCCCCAGCAGCATCTGCCTTCTAGGACCAAAGCGGGGTGTCCCTTGCGTGCAGGTGCAGTTCCAGTTCGTGCTGCTCACGGACACGCTGTACTCCCCGCTGCCCCCGGAGCTGCTGCCCGCGGAGCCGGAGAAGAGCCGGGAGCGCCGGCCTTTCCCCCGCACCGTGGTGGCCGTGGAGGTGCAGGACCTGAAGAACGGAGCAACGCACTACTGGTCCTTAGAAAAACTCAAGTATGTCAGTAGTCTTAGAGAACAAAATGCCCTGTGTCTGAGGAACTTCACTCAAAAACTTCTTCCCTCGCTGTTCCTTACCGGTTTCTGTTTTTTCTCTGTGTCCTCCCAAACTTTCTAGTCAGTGTGGGATGTTCTAAATACCAGCTTTTCAGATTGTTTGAACAAGAGCACTTTTCTCCAGCTTCTTACCTTACCTTCATATCTAATCTTTGTAATTTGAGGTTAGACTTTTATCTTTTGAATGTAATAAGACTCATCACAGCTCATCTCTGTGCGTTAGTTTTTTCAGTCCTTCCACTGTAATACTTTCCTTGCCACCTGCTTTATATAACCTGGCAGTATAGGACATAACTTATGATAAAAATCTTGAATAAAGATTTTATTTCTGTGGAAGTACACAAATTCTGTCACAAATTCTGACTGCAATCTGAATTATTTTCATCACATGTACATGACATTTCTTTTCCCCATTCTCTAAATATTGACTGAAGGACTTTTTTCCTGCTAATAACTTCCAGACAAAGGATCTTGCAGTGTGAAACACTTGTTTTCTTCGATAAAATAAATGGATAATTAGAGTCTATAATGGAATTGGTTCACTTTTGAATCAGAATGCCCACATTTCTGGAGTGGAATACAAAGAACTGCCAAAATTACTCAGTGACATGGTCTGATAAAAAAATTGAAGCAAAAAATATGCCAGGATTAGATGTGAAAGAGGAATATTTAGAAGTGAATTGAAATCCAAGATTTATGTAAGCTTCTGCAGTGACCTTGCCTTGTGCTTAAGGGCTTAGCTGACAACCAGGCTCTAACATTTTGGGGAATTAGTGAAGCACCAAACGTAGGGCACAGCCTCCTCTGTTCTTGGGTGTAACTTGGTACGGGTGAAGCCAGGGAGGTGCACAGCTGGCTTTGTGTTGTCTGCCTCTTGACCCGCTCTCTGAGCTCTTCGCTGCGCTGTGCCCGCAGGCAGAGGCTGGAGCTGATGCGGGAGATGTACGACCGCGCGGGGGAAGTGGCCTCCGGCAGCCAGGACGAGCCCGAGGGCTCCATGACCGGCAGCGACCCCTTCTACGACCGCTTCCACTGGTTCAAGCTCGTGGGCAGGTACGGACGGCACCTCGCTGCTCTGGCAGCTCTGGCTCAACGGGCAGTGCTGAATAAACCGTGTGGCCGCTCTGTCAGCTGGGTCTTGTCTTTCAGGGATTTGGAACAGACTTTAAATACAGTTAAGAATAGAAAATGCTCTTTAAAATGTTGCCAGTTCAAGTGTCTAGTGGTAGAATCTGCTTTGAGCGAATACAGTTAAGAATAGAAAATGCTCTTTAAAATGTTGCCAGTTCAGGTGTCTATAGTAGAATCTGCTTTGAGTGAACGTTTAGTAAGTTACAAATTTATTTTAAAATAATATAACCTGCTAAGTTCCATCTAAAGTCACTGGAGCAGAGCTGTGAGAATACAAAGACTCTGGAAAAGTGGTCCAGAGTCTCTCATATGTGTGGTTCAAATAGTTTGGTCATACCGTAGGGAAGTGTCTGATGGGATTCTTTGGTATTTCCTGCTGTTGGCCGCACCTTTACAATATTTTTATTTGCAGAGCTGCTGTGTTGGAAATGAGAAATGTAGCTGTGTTACACGGATGTCCTCTCAAGTTCTGTATGCTCAGCCATGTTTCTCTTCCTTTTCATTTGCCTCCTGCTCCGTTCAAGAACACTCTTTTCCCCGACTGTCGGCAGCCCCGTCCCTCCCATTTCGTTGCAGTTGCTGTGGTTTGAAGGCGTTGCTCGTTGTGCAGGGGTGTGTGTGCTGTGGCAGCAGGGAGCTGTGCTGGGTTGTGTGTGCTGACGCTGTTAATCGCTGTCCGTTCGCTGATGTGCAGCTCCCCCATTTTCCACGGCTGCGTCAACGAGCGCCTGGCCGATCGCACGCCCTCCCCCACTTTCTCCACGGCCGACTCCGACATCACTGAACTGGCAGATGAGCAGCAGGATGAGATGGAGGACTTTGATGATGAGGCCTTTGTGGATGACACTGGCTCCGACGTTGGGACTGAGGAGGGATCAGATCTCTTCAATGATGGGCGCGACCCGTTTTACGACCGATCCCCTTGGTTCATTTTAGTGGGAAGGTTGGTGAGGTTACTCTGAGAATGGCCAAAAGGGACCAGCTCTTGCTGCAGGCTGCAATGGCTCTGCCTTGTGCTACACAGATGGTCAGTCTAGCCAAAATATCCATGACCATGAATTGGAATTGCCAGAGAATGAGTGTAGTTCAACATTAAGTTTTAAATTGCTGTGTCTCGAGCCGTGAAGACCTGAGTAGTGACTGAGAAAATAACTCTTAGATATGACAGTGTCAGTAAATCTATCTCTAGATAACTGTCACAGCTTGGAATGAACGGGGGTTTGTGTACAGAATTTAAGCCTTTATAGAATTCCCTATTTAGCCACTGCAGGGTCATTAAGACAGAACTGTGAGTGTTATTTTCTTCCATAGAAGAGAATCTGATTATGGTGGGAAGTCTTTCAGTCCAAACACAGAAATGCATTTTTTTTGAAAATCAGTTTAACATCCGCTGCATATGAAAAGATGGCATGAGGAGAAAGAAGAGTGATCCTTTCTGGATGAGGAAAAGAGTGTTCTCTGAGATGATTTGGCTTCTCAGATTGTGCTTGACTCTCTGTAGCCAGTATAACACAGTGAAAGGTCATCTACATTGAAATTCACTGTCTCTGTTTATCAGCCCTTTCCCCAGGCACTATGCTTGAATTCCTGAAACAGATTTGCATGGAGTATTTTAGAATATTATTGAGCTTTCCAGAACAGAAAGAATTAGGGCATTAGCAGACCTCAGTCTGTGGTGTAGACCCTTAAGGACAGCAAGTTACATTAAAGAAACGTAGTTCTTCACACTGTTTCTTCAGCAGTAGTCCTGCTAGCACGTTTCTCATTACAAGAAACAGAAACATTTTTATTTAGTGACTTGGCTCTTCTCTCTGCTGCTTCCCTCTCCCCTGATGATGCTTTTGTGCTTCCTTGCTTACCCTGTAAGCCAACATCCTCATTAAGGTGCTTGCCACAGCCGTGGTACAAAAAAGGCTCCATGGCCAGAAGGGAGGAACAAAGGAAGAGGGACCAGAACTTGGCTTTATCCTTCTCTGCCAGTGTAAGCAGGAAAGACTTCAGGGTCAGGATGGTGGGATCTTTATGCAGTTTGCTCAAATGCAGGACACTTGTTTGCATAATTTATGAAAAGGAGAGATAAGAGTTTGCTGGTCTGTATCAAGCTTTGAGTTCAGTGTAGTGTGTTTGTCTAACCTCAGGCATTGTCAGTAGTGAAACTTGAAACTTCCTTGATCCTATTTTTTAAACAAAAATTACTAAAGTTGCAAGAAATTGTGTTAGTCCTCTGCAGTCTCTGAATCTGTGCCTGTACATGCAATGCCTGGTAGGACGTTTTACAAACTCTGATTATCTGGTTCAGGTGGGGAGGCAGTTTGGGAAAGCCACCTGTGCTGCTCTGGGCTGGCTGGCACTCTTTGAGCCCAGGGTGCCCCGTGTGCCCCTGGAGCCTGGGAAAGAGCTGGGCTGTTCATGCTCACTCAGAGGGCTCAGGAAGCACAGCACGAGCTGAGCAGATAGAGAGTGCAATGAAAACACTTGTGCTTCCTGGCAGGCACACAGACTGCTGCTTTGTGCTCAGCTCTGGGCTGTGTCTGGGGCAGGCACGTGCAGCTGCAGCGCTCTGGGCGCCGGCCTGCGTGGTGTGAGCTGCAGGTACAGAGCTGTGCCTGTGCTGAGGGAGGGAACTTAGCTCCTGCTGAGAGGATAGAGAGTGATTTCCTCAGCTGCTGGTTTCTGTTGTTTCTGTTGTCCTGTTATGCCCATTCTGTCAGCAGAGGCTGTGGGACTGTCAGCACCACTGAGCAGGAACTCTTGTGGGTGCTGTCCTCCCGTGTGAGAGCTCTGCTTTTGAGCAGTGACTTACAGGCACCAGGGTGTCCCTCCACAGAGCTATTGTCTTGAGCACAAGGCAGTGTTCAGTTCGGAACAAAACCAGAATTCCTTATCACTTCCAACTGTGTACTTACTGGTTGATACATCACAGAATGAGGAGGACAAATAAAACAATTCTTAGTGTTTTTGGAGGGTTGTCAGCAATAACAAGTGCAGGTCATGAAAGGAGAGGAAGAAGAGAAATGGAACATGTAGTTATCCAACTCCCTGGCCATCACAGTTATTTTCTTTTCTCTCTCTGTGCTATGACTGTCTTTTATTTGTAACTCTTAAAGAAAAGAAAAAAGAGCTGGTCCCTTTAGCCATCTCTTCTGGCATGCTGGGTTTCTTCAAGGTTGACTCTATTTAATGGTATGACAAATCAAGCATTTGCTTTGTTTTTAAGGGAGGTGGGAGAGGACTATGGGATATTTTATTTAAATCCTAATGTGTTTATTTTAAAAATATCTGCCATCATTTTGAGTTCTGTTGGTTTTGTTTTGGTTTTTTAAAAAATTGTGTTTGTTAATTTAATTTCTAGTTTTGTTGTGAGTATGCCATTTTACCTCACCAATCTTTCTGCTAATCCAGCTCCCCTCTTTCAGTCTGCTGGGCTAAGTGCAGGGGGACACTTGGGGGCTCTCTGGGGAGTGGGTGTCCTCACGGATGTGGGAAGAGGAGGAGGACAACCGGATTTCATCCACTCCTAACTTGGCACTGTGTCACGGTGAAGCAGCAGTAGTGCTGCAACACCCAGCTCTGCTTTGGTGCAGCACAGGTGCAGTTGCTCTCCACTCTACAGCAGAGATGCAGCATTTGCATCAGCAAACAGGAAGCTTTAGACTTTTTTGCATTATGTGTTTTTTTTTGGTCTAAGTTAAAATTATTCCAGTGAACAAGGTGACTGGATGGAAGCAAATTGAGGGAGAAGAGAAATACATTTTTTCCTTGGGATGGTGGCATGGTAGGGGTTAATCCAGCTGAATGCTTTGGCTGTCACATTTTGAGCAGCACCTTCAGAACTTTTGCCCTGCAAATAAACATAAATTTTTAGGTTTTATGCAGGTGATGCTTTCCCTTTCCATTAGTTTGGCTTTGAAGGGAGAAGGCTTCTGCAACGCCTGACTCTTCAGTTAGTGAGGCTCCTGCTGTGCACATCAGTGCAGGACTCCTTGGCTTCTGCTCTGCTGGGAAATGTCTGTTCTCCCTGGCTTGAAAAGTGCTTTTCAAACTGGGGGTGTTTTTGTGCTGAGCACAGAACTGTGTACCTTTTGGAACTCCATCCCTGATCCAGTCCAAGTGAACCATTCCAGTTCCAGGGACTTTCCTGTGTGGTTGGATGCTAGTTCCTCAGATCACCTTCAGGTGTGCATCACCTGAAATCCCAAAGCTAAAAGGAAAATGTTAGAGGGAAAAAATAAAAAATTAACTTCTCATTTTGTTACTTGAAATTTAGTCTCTTTTCCCTTCCAGTGCTTACCTCACTTTGAAGCAGACTGAAAAGGAATGAAATCCTAATCTTAGTGAAGTGTTATGTTGCAGTTGGTTTTTTTGTTGTTGTTGTTGTATGGTTTTCTTCATTTTTTGTTTTGCTACTTTATAGCCATATTAATCATCCTCTATTGCATTTTGTCACCACTTTTTTTTTTAGTAGCATTATTTTTGTGTCCTTGGTTCATGACTGACACCTCTTTGACTTCCTTGTCATTTCAAGAGTTCATTCATCCTTGGAAGGGGCACGTGAACCCAAGGAGCAACTTCCCTTTTGTCATGCAGGACTTTTCCCAGGAATGTTAAACAATAACAGTTGCAAATTACAGGAATTAATTATACATAATACTAAAGACTAATAAAAAGAACTGTAAGGAGGAAGTTACTTAAATAAATTACTGTTGTTTAGTATAATTTAATGTGCATAAATTTGTTACAATTGCATAATTAGTCACTTTAAATTTACTGACTAGTAAAACTCTTGGTTAAAGTTCTGTGCATGAGTACTCTTCTGAACTCTGAAACAGCTCATTTAATAAATAAAACCTGCCATATTTTCCCCTTGTTGAGAGCTGTTCTTTAGCTGACTTGTTGAGCTTATCAACTTTTAATGTCTTGCTCAAGCTAATCCCACTGAAGTGTGATGCTTTAAAAACGACTGCAGTTCATTGCAGAAACATAAAATAACTTAATAACTTTAGTCTGACTTTCAGTTAAAATCCATACAACTAAATTGGTTACCTTACTGCTCCAAAACAGACCCTGCTTGTATATAACTTAAAAGTTAGTGCAGGGCAGGATTGTCCCCTGTGGGGCCTAAATGCTGTTTTCCCTTCTGGAAACTGTGATTTCTAAGTGGTTGCTCTAGAGTAGTGCTGTCATGTCTTATTTATGTTTTGTTTTTTCAAAGAAATAAATCCAATGCTCCTGAAGAGATTTACCTGTGAAGACTTTCAGTCTTCCACTATCTGTACCAACAGTGAATCTTCCAATTAACCTAAGTGATGACTTCTGGTTTATTGTGGCTTTCTGGTTATTCTGCACACAGTGTTATCAAAGGAGTATAGGAGAGAGAAAACATTCAGTCCATCTGGTTTTTAAAGAGTGGTTTTATATGTTCAGTAAAAAATTGAGGCTGTATGGTCACAATAGATAAATTCCTTTTTAATTTATCATTTCCAACAACCTCATTCTTTATCATCAGTAGTTCCCTGATGGATTCTATCAGCTTGCTAACAGCTCCATTCACACCTGCAGTGCCTCTCTGGTTACGTTCCATGCAGCCATCCTCTCTCTGTGTCTGTAACTCATTCCTGTGAGCCCTGGCTCCCTCTGAGCTCCCACTGAGAGCCTTTGCTGGCTGCACTGGGCCTGGCCAGAGCTCTGTGTGGTCAGGATGGCCCCAGAATCTCCTGTGTGGGCAGGAGGGACTCAGGACCTCCTGTGTGGGCAGGAGGGACCCGGGACCTCCTGTGTGGGCAGGAGGGACTCGGGACCTCCTGTGTGGGCAGGAGGGACTCGGGATCTCCTGTGTGGGCAGGAGGGACTCGGGATCTCCTGTGTGGGCAGGATGGCCCCGGGGTCTCCTGCAGGTCCAGGAGATGCTGTGTCTGAGATCTGGCTGCTCCAGAGCTGAGCAAAGCTGCAGTGGGGTTTGGCACACTGTTCCTAATGCTGGCTGTGTTTCTCTCCTGTCCCCAGAGCATTCGTGTACCTGAGCAACCTGCTGTACCCAGTGCCCCTGATCCACAGGGTGGCCGTGGTCAGCGAGAAGGGCGAGGTGCGGGGCTTCCTGCGCGTGGCTGTGCAGGCCATAGCAGGTGAGACACCTCAGGGGCAGTGACACACCAAAGCCTCTCCTGACACTCAAACCTGAATAACCTGCGTGTTGCAAAGAGCACTTGCTCTCTGTTGGTATTGAAGTTACTTCATTTGTTGTTTCACCGTATGGGCTGAGCATGAATAAGTCTTGAAATAATGCTACTGAACAAAAGATTTTCAATTCGTGATGATGTTGTCCACTGAAGTTTATACCTGGCAACTAATGCAACTCTGCTTTTTAGGACAGTGGAAGATTTGACTACTGTCAGTAAGTCTGAAAACTAAAACTAAAGCAAAGCTTTTTCCTTCTGGCACCCAGTATAAACAGTGGAGAAGGGTTTGATAGTTTTGGTGTCCTGTATTAAAGTTAAATGTGCCAAGTTTTAGCTGTGCTCAAACTATCCCTTTAAATAATGCTCAGAAATGTGCTCCTCTGGGGTCTGGGGAGGGCACGTGAAGAAGTTCCTGAACTGATGGTTTTCAGCATGGTGTAGACAGAAATCAGCAGCATTTCCCCCTTCATTGCCTCACTAAAAACGTGGGGACTAGGAGCTGCTTTAACACTGTTTAATCAGCAGGAATTCTTTTCAGAAGAGAGGAGTAGATATCCGGGGTGGTAACAGCCTCACCCAGGGCTGAGCTGCCATTGTGTGTGTGCCAGGGTTTACTGCAGGTCACTGCTGCTGTTTCAGGCTGCTCAGTGTGAGCTGGGCTGCTTGGCAGGGCCAGGCCTTAGCCGTGCTGCTGGGAGCACAGATCCTTCCCAGAATTTGCACTTTCCAGCAGTGGCCAGCTGCCAACAGTTCTTGCTTCTTTAGGTAGGGTAACCCTGGAAGCTTCACTCTCCATGGGAACATATAATGAAACTCAGACTCTGAAGATGTGTAAGAATCAGCCTGGCAGGGATTAAAACAAGTGAATTGAAATTTGGTTTAATGTGTACAAAAGTCTAGTTTGGTTTGGTCTCCTTAGCATTGACTGAATATTTCCAAATAAATATTTATCCATCCAAATGAACCGAAAACAGCATGGCTAACAGAAACTGAACTGGGGACATCCCTTAAAAAAAGGGCCATGGCATTGTTTGATCCCTAAGCAAAGCATGGAGCACATTCTGAATCTTGGGATTTCTGCTGTGACTATGCATTTACTGTGAAAAAACCCTGGCATTTAACCAGGCCCTGTTGTTGTTGCTCTCTGTGAAGAGGAGGAGGTGAAATGAGCAGACTGTATGGACAGATCCAACTTCCAGATTTCCAGCATGTCCTGGAGGAGCTTTGCTAGTGTTACTGCTGAGTTCATGGCTACAGAATTTTAGATGTTAGTTTACCTCAGTATAATAATCAGAAGTAAATAAATAATGAAAATTAGTTCTAAAGTTGGTTTGCATTCAAAATTCTCTAAGGTTAAGTATTTTCAGAATGAAGCTTGAGAGCTGTGTTGTTTTCCCACAGCCGAGTTCCTGATGGAGAGGTTTCTGGCATGATCCTTTCCAGCACTTACTCCAGCTTGTAACTGCATGGCTCTTCTGCTTTCTCTTTTGGTTTCCATTGTAATGAGAATTATAGGGTCTCCCTTCTCCTCCCCATCATTTATTTATCTATCTTCTTTTTTCCCTCTTTTTTTTTTAGCTGATGAAGAAGCCCCAGATTATGGGTCTGGTATTCGACAGTCTGGGACAGCTAAAATTTCATTTGACAATGAGTATTTTGATAAGGTAAGAATTCTTAAAATTGAGTTAGATTGTGCTTCTAAATAAAGAACATGTGTTGTATGGAAAGAAGGGGATGGCAAGCTCAGAAAGTGCAGAAGTCTCTTACAAGGCACTGTATTTAATTTTCAGAGTGATTTTTCTTCAGTTGCGATGACTCGGTCTGGTCTGTCACTGGAGGAGTTAAGGATTGTGGAAGGGCAAGGACAGAATTCAGAGGTTACCACTCCTCCAGAGGAGATCAACAGAATGAATGAGCTGGGTAAGCAAGAAATACCTGGTGTTTGGAGAACTTGTGGGAAATCCGTGACACTTTCAGTCAGTCATAGAAAGGAGTTCTGAGTGTCCTTCAGGAATGTCATGGTCAGGGAGAGGTGTTACCAGTGGGTTGAACATGGGAGATTCATTTGAAGAACAGGGCTGAAAAACTTACCAGATATTTGGATCTTTTGGTTATCAACAAATTATTTGGGTTTAAAAGGAAAAAAAAAAAGTGATGGGACTAAACTGTCTCCTGAAGAAATATTTCAAGAAAAGAAAGGAGAAAAATAAAAAGAAAAAAATTATTTCATGTGGGATTTCTTTTTCTCCCTAAGACTTGAAGTCAGCCACTTTGGATGGAAAGATGACTATGGAAGGATTCACTGAGGAAATTGGTGATCACCTGAAGCTGGGCAGTGTGTTTACCTTCCGTGTGACAGTGCTTCAGGCCAGTGGCATCCTGCCCGAATATGCAGACATTTTCTGCCAGTTCAAGTAAGAATTTGTCCTTACTTGCATTAGGCAATTAATGGTATGAGAGAGAGAGCAAAGAGCAGTGGGCAGTGGAACTCTGAGAACTTTGCAGGTGGGTGGAGGTTTTGTACAGCAGAGAAAAACTCCTTGTCACTTACTGGAGTTCCTGGTCCCCACTTTCTCTTAAGCAGATGTTAAGGATTAAAGTTGTGCAGAAAGAAATTAAAGTGGGCTCATAAGTTACTAGTTCATAGATATCTTAAGGTTTTAAGCTTTTAATGTGAAAAATTCAATACTAGATTGTACATACACCCATTTGAATGAAAGCTGCATGACCCTGGAGAAAATCAGTACTTGTCAAGTGAAAGTGGTCTTAGGCTTGGGTTCTTAAGAAAGAGAATGAAAAGGAGAAATAAAGACATAAAACAAGTACCACAGTTGTGGTCCCACAAGACTATGGTATGCCTAGCCTCAGGCCATCACTCAACTGCTTCTAAAGTTCCAGCAGAATACATTTCTTTGAGGGCTTTAGGATTTCCTTTCAGGGTTGGATTCAGAGCACAGCAATCTTCATTAAACCATTCTGTGGTGGCTGATTTTTGGTTTATTTGTTTAAAGCTTTTTACATCGACATGATGAAGCTTTCTCCACAGAACCTCTCAAAAACAATGGCAGAGGGACTCCCCTTGGGTTTTACCACGTTCAGAATGTAAGTAAAGCTTTCCATGAGCAGTAATTTCCTCTGTCTGCACTGGGAGTTGGGGGTGTCCTTCAAGGCAAGCAGAATTATTAGGAATAGACAGTACTAGGAGTGATCAGGTGAATGATGTAATCCCCATCACAAAACAAAACACAGAATGATTCTTTGTGGCAAATTTAACTCTTTTTTCACCTCTACTTCCTGCCATTGAATTCTGTGTTTCCTTTCCAGGGTGAAAACAGTCTAGAATTCAGGAAATAAAATATACATGTGAATAGCAGTGCTCATGATCTCAGATGAACTGGATATATCTATTTTTATGAACTGTGTAATGCTTTGGTTACATGCAGCCTCCTCTTCTCCTTCTTGAAATGCCTGATACTGAGGCTTTCATTTTCTCCTTTCTTGGAGAGTAGAATTAATGCCTAAACCAGAAGGGAATGCAGTTGCTTTTACTGTGAGTGACACTAAGTGATATGAAAAATACAGACTCCTAAAAGAGATTTCCTTTTTTGAATGTCTCATTTTCTTTCCTTACTCCTGAAATAGATTGCTGTGGAAGTGACAGAATCGTTTGTGGAGTACATCAAAACAAAGCCTATTGTCTTTGAAGTCTTTGGACATTATCAGCAGCATCCTCTCCACCTGCAAGGACAGGATCTCAACAGGTATTGGTCACTAGCCTGGCACAAAGGCACTTGGGGATCATGCTCACTTTGTGCAGTTTTTGTACTCCTGAAATTGTGCACCACAGCCTCACAAGCAGAATCCCTGGTGGAGGTGGAAGTGCTGCCAGAGGCCTGTTCACCCAGTGCACTGTCTGATGAATTGTCCTGCCCTGTCAAACATGGAAAGCTGGCTGTTCTGCCAGTCCACCCTAAAAACCCCCTGGGGACTGGAGCACTGCACTGGGAATACTGGGAACTTGCAGTGATCTGTGAGCTCTGGGAAAATGTCAGCAGTGCTCCTAGGGTTGGTTAAGCTACAGTAGAAGCAGAGCATAGGTTAGTCTGAGAAGCGTGCTGAGCCCCCTTGTTTTCCTGACAGGGGATATTTACCTGTCTTCATGGAATTGTGAGGATATCTTTAGAAACAATCATAGGTGTGTGTATACAAAGATGCATGTGTGTGCATTTGTATATATTTCTTATGTTTAACTGCCTCTGTATTGATAACTCTTCATTTCTCTGTAGCCCTCCACAGCCTTCTCGAAGATTCTTTCCTCCCCCTATGCCACTGTCAAAGCCAGGTGAGAACAGCTCTCCAATTGTGTGCATCACAGGGCTGCTGCTGCAAATGGAGGTTGTAGCTCAGTATTCCTGAGGTGTCCATGGAGTGAGTGCTGCAGGGGGCACTGAATGTCTTTGCTGGCTCTCTGCCCTTTTTATGTTTTATTTCTTCTCAGCCTCCTCTGCAGGAAGTGATGCTTAGTTCATTAGGGGGTAGAATTCCATTCCTGAGGTATTGACCATATTCCATGAGATCTGGCTATGGCTCTTCCCATGCTTACTGTGCCCTTACTGACTGGAAATTTGCTTATTCATTAATTGCCTCATCATTTTGCTCTCTCATGTTCTTGTTTAGTGAGTCTTGTTGAAATGATTCTTGGTTTTCTTTGCTTAATTGGAATAATGCATGCTGAACTCTTTTGTGATTTTTTTTTCCATTTCACCTTTAATTTCCTCCTTCTCCGTCTTTCTCTCACCTGCACATTTCTACCATCCTTTCTCTGTGTGTGTTGCATTCCCTCTGCAGACCATGAAAGGAAGATAGAGTTGATTAGGTACCTTATGTCTGGCTATGTAAACGTGCACGTGCTGAACACGCTGTCCGAGCATGCCAACGTGCTGGCCTCCTCTGCCGTGGCTGCTTTCCAGGATGGAGCTGACCAGCTGCCACCTTTCCTCTTTCTGCCTGTTCCCAGTTGTCAGAGTGAGCGGGCTCCTAAGCGAGATGGTTAGTAGCCAAACTCGGGCTGTGGTAGATGTAGAAGTAGTTCCAAAATGTGCTTCCAAATTCCTTTTTCCTTCATCATGTGGTAGTATTAGGAGTAGAAGCTGCCATGGTTGTGCTCATGGAAGGATGATGCTGTGCTTAAATTTAGGGCTCTTTTAGAGAGAACCACAGAGACAGTCTGTAGACTCCAGTGTGCTGGGAGTCACAGATTTGTGTGTCACTGCATCTGTTCCCTGGAACTTCCAGGACCTCTGATTTTTTCTGTGTTCTGCATAGAGTGGTACTGGGATGAGAGATGCATAGGAAACACAGGCAGGTATAGAGGAAACATTCTGCTGTGTTCTGTATAGGTTTCCTTTTCACTCATCTTCCTTTCCTGCCACTAACAGTGCTGTTCCTCACTTCCACTTCTATTCTGTTTTATTTTACTCAAATAAAAAGTCATGCTGATTAATAATTGTACCAGAGCAAATCTTTGAGAACATCTGGAATCAAGCTTTCATGTTTAGTTCCATGTGTCTTTCTGTTGTTTTTCTCTTCTGATGCTTTTGAGTTGCTCTGCTTAGCAATAACCTTGAGTGACTTGTGTGTTTGATGTTCCTGTGGCTGGAGTGAGTTCATGTGCAGCTGCATGAGGTGATTGGGTGTAAGGAGAGTTACTACCCTGAGTAAAGTGTGGGAAGGCAAATGATGAGCCTCAGGCTTGCTGCCTCCCAGGGTGGAGCTGTGCTGTGAAAAACTGATTCCTGTAAAATCTGTCCCTCTGAGGCAGCTGCTGTTTTACCCAGAAGAGAAACAGATCTCAAAAGAGAGCACCTAGGCACTCCTGTAAGGACCTGTTTAACTGGGGGCCCAGTGCATGGGGAATTAAGTCATGGTAGAAGCCAAAGGATACAGAGATGTAAAGGTGGGAGAACCCAAAGAATACCTGAGCAAGGGGGGATTGGGTCTTGAGAGGTAGAAGGGAAAATAATTATTTGGCTTAATAAAAGCAGTGAGGTTAGTATGTGAAAGGAAAAAAAATGGAAGATCAGAAAAATCTCAGAGTGTGCAGGAACAAAGCTTTTAAAATGTTCCCATTTACAGAAATGTAATGAGTGAACAGATAAGAGAAAGCATGTAATGGCAGCTAAAAGGTGTGGTGTGTGAGGGAGTATTAGGTTATTTCTAGAATTTAAGCTGTCTCATTATTTTTTTAACATGGTTTATCCCTACATTTGAATGAAAGGAATTAGAGGGGATCTGGCTGGTTATACTCACTAATGCCAAGAGATAAGGAGCCCAGAAAAATACTTAGGCAGGATTAGGGCTCTGGAATAAGTCCTGTTCTGCCTTTTACATATACAACACCTTAACCAAGTGGTGCAGGGGGCTGGCAGCTTGTCACATGAAGAGTGAAGACTGAAGTTTTAAGTTATATTCTTTTCCTCTTGTGTGGGGAAGGTGAAATGCACTTTATGGGTGAGTAATGCTGCAGATGAACAGACCTCAGCAATTCTAAATCACCAACTGTCAAGCCATAAAGCAACTGATGCACATTTGAGGAAACTTCTCTGTGGATCTAGAGGGACTGTATATTTCCCCAGGCTCTTTGGATGCACTATTGTTCCATTATTTAACTCCAAAATTTATTTCTATTCTAGTAAACCTAGATTTAAAAAACATTTAGAGAAATAATGATTGCTGTAAGCAACATAATTTTCATGGTAAAAGCTGTGGTCTGCCTATGTACACAGAATATGTAGGACCTCTGAAATGGCACGTTTCTGTGAGTCCTGGATAAGCTTTACTTGTTCAGTCTTTGTAAACCACTCTTTTTTTCTACTTTCTTTCTTTCTTTTTTTTTTTTTTTTAAGTGCCAGCTACAAAGCTGAATACTATGAGCAAGCCCAGCTTGGGCCAGAGTGTGAGCAAATACGACCTCCTGGTGTGGTTTGAGATCAGTGAACTGGAGCCAACAGGGGAGTAAGTCCTCTATTAATGTTGTGATTAATATTGTGTCTCAAGAATGGTGGTTTATGAGATTTCTGGGGTTTTCCCCTTTGTTCTGTTCAGACCAGGCTGATGTTCAGCAGTCACCCTGGTAGGAGCCTGCCTGGTTTGTGGTGATGGGTGTCCAGTCTGGCAGTATTGCCCCCATTAGAAGGGACTAAAGTGACAGAATGACTTTCTTTCACACTTGGAGGGGTCTGTCCGTGGTGAAGTTCCAGGCACAGGCACCAGGAGTTCCCAGTGCAGGCCATGAGTTTGGGTTCTTTGGGACCCTGGAGACTTCACTCCAGTCACATAGCAGCCTCTGTTCAGTGTTCATCTCTGCTACAGAGAAGGTTTTCCCTGACAGGTCCTTAGGGGTTATATTGAGAAGTGAATTGCACTGGAGGTACAGTGGGTGATATTCCATGATTCACTGATCTGTAATGCCAGAAGGAGCCTGTTTGGAGAGCAGGCAGACAGACACACCCTTGTGTGTCAGCTGCCACAAGGAGAGGAAGCTGCTGTGCTGGTACATGTGTGGTTCCCTGTCCCACAGGTACATCCCTGCCATCGTGGATCACACGGCGGGCCTGCCCTGCCAGGGCACCTTTCTGCTGCACCAGGTATGATGGAGGCTGTGGGACAGGAGTGTCCCCTGTGCAGGGAGGGAGGGCAGGCTGCTCCCGGGCTGGCAGCTCCTCTCACACAGCCTGGGCTTTGGGCTCTGAGGAGATTGCCCCCAGGATATTGCTGGTCCTGTTCCTTATCCCTGGGCATCCCGCTCATGGAAGAGGAAAGCCTTTCAAAAAGCAGGAACCTCTGGGACCAGATTTGTGCCTTCAGTGTTCTCCAGCATCTCTAAGGACACAGAAGGACCATGTGGACTCAAATTCCATTTGCTCTCCTCGCTGCTTGTGGTTATGAGACATAATCTTTGAAGTGACTGTATCTCAGTGCATCTTAAATTCCTCTTACAATCAGTCATATTTTGTCTCTAGCTAGATTATAAAGATAATCCCAGTTTAATATGGTTTATAGGTTTAAAGTTATATTTTTCCTACTCTGTCTTTGTGGAGTGAGGAAGGGGAAGCATTCAATTTCTTTACATATGAGAATATAACATCCCCTTGAAGTGAATTTTAGGGTCCTGAAACAAAGAGTTGCTTGTTCAGTTACAGATGATATGTAATGATATTATTTAAATCACTTAAATGATATTAATGATATTATTTAAATTATATTATTTACTTCACTTTTGCAGTACAAGTGCAAAATAGATGATGTGTGTGTGTGACCACTTCAGCAGTGTTTTGTTTGTGAACCCCCCAGGGAATCCAGAGGAGAATCACAGTCACCATCATCCATGAGAAGGGCAGTGAGCTGCACTGGAAAGACGTGCGAGAGCTCGTGGTTGGTGAGTAAATGGTTTGTGTCTTGCTCTGTAAGGAAGAAAAACTATTACTGGTAATTTCTCTTTGTATCAGATTCTGTCATTTTTATGAGCACCACCTGTAGGAGGAGAGTTTTGAAAAATATCCACAGGAAGAACTTTTAAGTTTTGCAACTTCCATTTACAGCTACTTGTTATTCATGTAGTCTGAAATTGTGTTTGGGAAAACAAATTCCTTCTGTGTTGCAGTTTGAATTTTAATTGATTCCTCCTCCTTCCCTTTTTAGGGCGTATAAGAAATAAAGCAGAGGTAGATGAAGCTGCTGTGGATGCCATTCTGTCTTTGAATATTATCTCTGCAAAATACCTGAAGTCCTCTCACAGCTCCAACAGGTAAGTGAGTGAAGTGAGCCCTCCAGCAGGAATCAGAAGTTTGACCTCTGAGGTATTGGCAGGATGTTTGGAAAGCTGGGAACGTGGCTAATTATTAAATGTAGAATTCCATGGGCACAGAACACACAGGTAGAGAATGAACATCACTGTAAAACCTTGCTAATGCTGAAATCTGTTGATCTGTGGGAAGGGTTTGCTGACAGTGCATCTGAATTACTTTCCATGTGTATGGACCACAAAGGGCAGATGGAAAGGAACAGCTTAAGGGGGCCTCAGGATTTAACCCAAAACTTCTAAACTGACATCAAGGTTTGGTGCTAGAACACAGCATGGAAGTTCAGGGAGAGTTTTGGGAGGTACACCTGCAGATGTGTACGTAGGGGTTTGTGGCTCTGAGGCTCAGACTCACATTGTTCTGCTGCAGTGTCTGCAGCCACGTGCAGCAAGGCAGAGGGGGCACTGGGCTCAGCCTCTCCCTGCTCTGACAGCAGAGTCACTTGGCTTCTCCCTGGCTCTGCTCAGCTGGTGCAAAGGAGGAATATCCCTGGAGTGGGGCTCTGAGTGGCTTTTTCCAGAGGGGAGGAAGGTTTGAGTCCATCTCTGCTGAATGCTGGAGGTGGGAGCCTTCCAAGCACTGGAATTCTTCCCTCTGTGTTAGGGGCCTGGAACACCTGTGGCATTAAAGTGGATTTGGAATGCTGCTCCTGCCTGTGGGCTCTCTGCCACCTGGTGTCTGTAAAGGCAGGCAGGGACTGGGGCATTGGCTGTTCTTTATTGCCTTCCACTGAGAAGTGGGTATTTTAGTGTGTTTGAATTAATGGATCAATATAACTGGAAAACAGGGAGACTGTTGCTGGATTCCTTCCTGATGCTATTGGATTTGCAGTTAGAAAGCCCTGTGCTTTCTGTTTTGTTTCAATAAATTCCTCTATATCTCTGTAGTTTTCTGTAAGATGGGCAGCTTGGGTGAAGGGTGAGTGGGGTGAAGCTGTTGGCCATCTCATCCCAAAATGCCAAGGTTTAGTTGTGGGATGAGTGCATGGCAGCGTGGTGGAAGGGAATTGAGGCCCTGGTAAGGGATATGTCTTAATGTTTGTTCATTGTCTGCAGACTTGTTTGCTGCTTTCTGTGGGGTTTTTTCACTTCGTTTTGTTTTAGTCCACTTGTTCTGTTCCTCTCAGCTGTTGCTTTTCTGTTCTGCTTTTGGCTGCACTAACTGAAGCTCTTTCTATGTTTTTACAGGCTCTTTCTTGATAAGGATATGCCTAGGTATTTTCTGTTTGCTTCCTTTGAACATAAAGATTCTTGAAAATAGAATGCTTTATGTCCCATTTGTATTGCTGCCACTTCCCTCAGCTTTTACTGAATTCTGTTAGCACACCTCTTAGTGCTTCCAGAAGTAGTCTTCCTCTTCCCCTTCCTCTTCCTCCTCCTCCTCTGTGCCAGAGGGTTATTCAGGTACAGTTCACTGGGGGACTTGTGAAGGTGAACTTTCCTTCACATGTGAGAGTAGGAGAATTTCCTTTGTGCAGTCTTTCTGAATCTCTTGATGTGCCATCAGATATAGACCCTTTTGTATTCCTTGCTATTTTCTTCCCTTGTTCTGTATCAAAGAACTAAATTTGGAGTTTCTCAGTGTCTCTGACTCTGCAATGCTGCTTGTTTGAAGGACCAAGCCAAGGACTGAACATGAGGTTACTTGAATTGCTCTGATCAAATAGCAGTGGCTGCCGTGTGATGCTCTTCAGCCTCGATTCTGGGGCTGGATTTGCATTTGGAATTTAACCATGTGGTTGCCACTCCTTAGTTAGCAGCTGGCAGAGGAGCCAGACATGCAGTAGCTGCCCAGGCTGGATTCCTGTTTCTCCTTCCCAGGGGGATCACAGCCCAGCATGGCAGCTGCACAGTCTGGGGCACTTTGAACTCTGCCTTCTGAGCTCTGCCCCTGGAAAAGAGACAACAGAGTCTTCAGTGCTCCCAATTCACCGCCTTTCATGATGCTGAGATCCACTTCAGAATCAGTTTTAGCTACACATTTAACCTGTCTCTCCTCTGTTCCATGCTTTGTGTCCCATGCTCCCTTCTCTGTGTGCTGTTGGCTGTGCTGAAAGGAGTTTGCTCACTTTGGTTTTTGTCTCGCTCTATAGCTATTGTAGCAAATTCTGCTTTAGGCAGGCAAAGCTGTGTATATTTAACTTCCTGGCTAGAAAAGATCCACTAAAATAATTGCCTCAAAGCTGTGCCTGACTTCGTCTTGGTGTTTGTGCAAGCCTCATCTTACTCAAGAGGGTGGTGGTATTTCTGCCCTGAGGGGCATTTACCCCTGTGTTCCCTCTCCATGAGGAGAAATCTTGTTTGGCAGATGGTGCAGAACTGATGCTGGGGCTACGTACAGTGCTTTTCCATCTGTGGTCAGATGGGTTTTACTACTTTCTCTTCCACCCTGAGAGTAGATCTGGAATTTGCTAGAAGTTGAAAAAATTGCTTGCTGTCACAACTAAGTCATGATGAAAGTTTAAAACATAGGGACTCAACTCGGATGTGTAAAGGCTTAGAAGACAACTGTGCTCTTTGCCTGATCTAACTAAAATGAGGATTATTACTTCTCAGTGCTTCACAGTGTTTTTGAAGCTACCAAATACTTGCCCTTTAGATTATGTTTCTCTGTATTTTTAATATAAACAACATATTTAGAAGTAGTTTCCTAAATATGGTTCTTCAAATGCAATCTAGCAGTGTTCTCACTTGACTGCAGTTCATGGTGCCTTTATGTATTAGTTTGGAATTGTGTCATTGGTATCAGAGAAAGGGAATTCTTGAGACCTCTACTTGAGGTCGAACTCTTTGTTTCTGGCATGTCTGCTTTTAGGCTGTTTCATGTTTCTTTTTGTTTTGCCTTGTATTTTCTTGTTTCTTCTACCCCCACCCTGCTGTTTGTCCTTTGTCTTTAGTTTCATCTTCCATTTTTCTGAGTTTGGAATTAGTACAGAAACTCTTCAGATATATAACTTATTTTTAAAAAAGAATGCACATGAAGCACTTTCTTGTTTTCAATACTACATCATTTGGACTCAAAATGGGATAAAAATAGCAAGGGGATTTGGGAGGGAAATGATGTAGAGGTGATGAAGAATGAATCCCTTCTGTTTCTGTCAGCAGTGTGGAAAGGTGTGCTGAGTTCCTGAACAGGGGCATTGGTCTTTTTCCAAAGGCACCTTCCTGCCTGGTTGCTGCCTGTGGGAAAGGAGAAAGCTCATTTCCCCAAGCCCCTGCTAGGGAGGGGAGAGCATAACAATGCCTTGGATGTGGTGACTGAGCTGTGCTGTGTGTGATGCTGTCTCTCACTTTCTACTTGAACCTTCTGCATTGCTGGGGTAGACCTGGGGGAGCTTTCAGCTCCTCTCTTTCCTTGTCCCAGACGAAGAAACGTCTTACAGAAGTCCTAAAATAGGGTGTAGAAAGAATCTTCCCATGCTCTTTTAAGATCCAGCTGGGCTGAATTGCAGCAGTAGAAATTAATTTTCTCTGTTTAGAAACAACTGTTCAGTGCTGACTTCCCTGTAGAGCTATGACAGCTTTTGTTTTCTGCATTCCCTCTTTTCTCTTTTAGATGAGTCTTCTCCATAACAGGCGGTGGTCTTTGTGCCACACAGTTTGAGGTAGAAGTAAATGATCCTGGAAATAAAGAGAAGGTTTTTGCTTCAAGTATTTTTATCCACATCACTGGAGGATGATATCAGGAAGAGATGCTTTACACTGAGTGATGAGGGGGCTGCAGAGGAGTGCTTGCTATTGACCTTCTACTGTCCTTCTTTGCAGGACTTTCTACCGGTTCGAGGCCGTTTGGGATAGTTCCTTGCACAACTCCCTCCTCCTCAATCGAGTGACACCGTATGGAGAGAAGATCTACATGACCCTTTCTGCCTACCTGGAGGTGAGACACCAGTGCCTTCCTGCTGGCTGTAAACTGTTTGAGACAGGACACAGAGTGTACCCAAGAGAAATGGATTCAAAAGTGATTTGAATCCTGAAGCCAGTAAGAGTATTTATTCATTTCCTGAGAACAGGGTGGAAACAATGGACTCAAAGTTAACATCTTGATGTCAAGGTCTTACTGCACAAGAGATACTGGTGGTCTTACCTTTTGTCTTACTTGTTTTATCTATCTTTGTATCTGAAAATCCACTGGAATCAGTGAACATTGCTGTGTGAGTACTGGTGTTACAAACAGGGGCTTAGCTCTTGGCTTGTGTGCAAGACACTGTTGTTTTGTGTAGTAAAATAATTTCATGGGATGCATCAAGAAGTTTGGCAGTTCTCTTTGACAGTTACACATATGAAAACCCTTCACCAAAGACCCAAACAAGAACAAATTTCAAAAGCTGTCCCAGTAAGGGCAGCAGTGTAACTTGGCACAGTTGGCTGCAGCCATTCATTCATTGCTGGTGTTCCTCTTAGCTGGACCACTGCATCCAGCCTGCTGTGATCACAAAGGATGTCTGCATGGTGTTCTACTCCCGCGACGCCAAGATCTCCCCGCCGCGCTCCCTGCGCAGCCTCTTTGGCAGCGGCTACTCCAAGTCCCCAGACTCGTAAGTGCCCTTACAGTTTTGGCATTGACCTTTTCTGTCAGTATTTGTGTTTCCTCTCAGAGGATGTCGTTTAGTTTTCTTAATTTTTTTTCCTTGTAACTTTACCTACTCATAGGTTTTCCAGTCTGGTTTTGAATGTTCTTTCTCGCGTTTATTTCAGTGGAACTCTGATGGCTTCTCTCTTTACTGGCCTCTTTTCCATACTGACAGAGTTGGGAAGAGGGATCCATTTTTCAAGCTTGCACTTAGATGACTTTGATCCTGACCTGGAATTTACTGCAGCATGTCCAGTGCAGGGTGGGGGGGAACATGGGGGAAATGCCTTTTTTTGGGATCTTGCAGTTCTGGCTGTTTTGTGCAAGAGTAGTGTTGAAATCTAGCTCTAACTAACAACTATACTTAAAATTCTGCTTTGGAACCTCTGAGCTAAAGCTGAAGCACTTCATTTCTGAAGATAATAAATAGTGTGTTTTTGTTTCTTCTGCTTTCCTGTGAACAGCAATCGAGTAACTGGGATCTATGAACTGAGTTTATGCAAAATGTCAGACACAGGAAGTCCAGGTAAGCAGTGGCTGGGTGTTCCAGTGATAAATATGAAATACTGCAGAAAATTTCTCAGGCAGAATGGAGTAAACGTTTCTGTCCTGATCAGAAGCAGTTCCTGTGTTTCACAGGAGCAATGGAATGCTGCTGTTCCACAAAACACTCACTCAGGCTTTTACTTTAGACTCAGCTCTGTGTTTACCATTGGTGAACAAGGATTCACTGGAAACTTTATGTTTTCTGACATGGGTAACTCAGACACTGAGCACATGAACCTGAGGCTTAGGAGCATAATCCATGGCTCATGACTAACAGCTGAGACTGGGTTTTGCAGCAGTGGAGCTTTTTCTTGTCTTTTGAAGATGCTGCTGATTTCTGATGCCAACTTCGCCTCTTGGAAGGAATGCAGTTCATGGTGTATTTGTGTATTTTTCTTCTAAGATGTAGAAACTGAAGTCCTTGAGTTGAATTAGACTGAACAGGAGTTTGCATTATATCTTGGTCAATAGAAAATATCTGAAAAAAATAAGAAAGCTGGACTAAATCAAATATCTTTGGTTGTGTATTTGTAGGTAATGAAATCTTTGTGTTGTGTATTTCCAGCCAAACAGCAGAAGTACTGGTTCTTTGCAAATTGCTGATTATTTCTCAGTGACACCTCTCTGGCTATGGTTTTAACACATCTCGTGTTGTGTTTTACTGCTCAGGAATGCAGAGGAGGAGGAGGAAAGTCCTGGATACTTCTGTGGCATATGTGAGGGGAGAAGAGAACCTGGCAGGTTGGAGGCCCAGGGGTGACAGCCTCATTCTAGAGCATCAGTGGGAACTGGAGAAACTGGAACTGCTGCATGAGGTGGGTAAAGAGATGGAAGTCAAGATTTAAATCAGTTCTCCTGGCAGAGAAGACACACAGTGTGTGGCTGGCTACTAAGTGGATTCAGCTCAGAATCTCAGTGTATTCAACAAAGGCAAATTCAATTTTCAGTGCCACTGTAAACTCCCTTCCCTGGGGAGAGTTACTGGTACGAATAGTAAAGGATTCCTGAGAGTTTGGTGTATGTAAAATCGGCACCTTCCTGGAGCGGACGACACTGATTTCCTTTCTTACTAGGTGGAAAAAACCCGACATTTTCTTCTGCTTCGTGAGAAGCTTGGTGACAGCATCCCCAAGTCCCTGAGTGACTCGTTGTCTCCCAGCCTGAGCAGTGGAACCCTCAGCACCTCCACCAGCATCTCCTCTCAGATTTCAACCACGACCTTCGAGAGCGCGGTGACGCCCAGCGAGAGCAGCGGCTACGACTCCGCGGACATCGAGAGCCTGGTGGACCGGGAGAAGGAGCTGGCCACCAAGGTATGGCCCAGGGCAGCCACCAAGGTATGGCCCAGGGCAGCCATCCTGCGGGCAGCTGGCTGCCACAGGGGATTATAGGTCAGTCACGAGCTTCTCAGATAGCTGGGGAATAGCCAGTAGTGTGAGAGTTTCACTTTAACATCCTGGTTAGTGAAACAAGCCACTCTCGCTGGCCAGTGCTGCTGGGGAGGTTTGGCTGTGGCTGTGTCTCACTCCCCTGTGTCAGTGGTTTTATAAAAACTTTCTAATTTTAGCAAGTGAAGTGATTATTACCCTCTTCTGTGATTTTTCATAGCAGTTTAGAATTTGTTTTTTCTTTCATGACCTGCCAAGTGTGTCTTGGCAAATCACCTCTTCTGTTCAAATTTCTCTGAAAATCTAAATCTAAAGTTCTTCTCTGTGCTCATTTGTTTCCCCTCACGTACCCCCTTTAGTGTCTGCAGCTTCTTACTCATACCTTCAATCGGGAATTCAACCAGGTGTACAACAGCATCAGCGACTGTAAGGTAAAGATTTCATTGTAATACACTCTATTTGTAGTACAATAGCAGCATGTTTGTGAGTCATGGAATCTGCTGATACTATGAGAAGATAAACCACTTTATATTAATTTATAATTTTTTATTTTCAATCCACTGGAAGCATTTGGCAATTCAGCATTAGGTTCCAAAGGCTATGGCAGGAATTGCAATGGTGTGGACTTGTACTGTAGTATTATTTACAGTTAATTAAATAACTGTTTATTAGCAGACTCTTACTGTCTTTCCCTACATACACTTTTCCCATGTAAAAGGATAAATCTACTCTTAAAAATTCTGCCTGTAGGCAAAGGGAATACCAAGTTTCAAACTGGATGATGTTTATCCCCTGAAGAAGTCAGAGTGTGAATAATCAAAGTGTAGGACATTGATAATAACAACCTGTGTCCGTGTAAATGCTGCTGTGTTTCTGCCCCAGATGGGTTTGTGGTGGTTTGTGTGAAAATCTGCCTACTGAGAAGGGGAATGGCTGATGAAGAAGCCTTTCTGTTCTGTGAGCCAGGAGTGAACATCAGCTCCTGTGATGCTTTCTTGCAGCTCTCGGACATTTCCCCGCTTGGGCGGGACCCGTCCGTGTCCAGTTTCAGCAGTGCCACCCTCACCCCTTCATCCACCTGCCCTTCCCTGGTGGACTCCAGGTGCAACTCAGTTGATCAGAAGTAAGTGTAATGTATTAAAAGGAAACACCACTTTTCAGTGCTTCACAGATCTCTTTGCTGTTTTCTGATTTGTTTTTCCTCTTCCTCTTCCCTACTTCCAGATATTTCTATTACAGCCCCCTTGCCTTACTTCTCCAGTCACTCTGCACAGTTCTTTCTCCCCATTTTGTTCTTTTGAAGTGTTTTTTTTCCGCTTGTGTTGGGGGAACAGTCAGATGCTTGTCATTCCAGTGACCAGTGCATCTACAGTGTGCACAGTCCACAAGTTTTTTCAGAAGTCTGTTGAAAAGGTCTACTAATAACAACCCAGAATAAACCAGTTTGGCCATTAATCTCTGTTTATCTTTCTCAGCTGTATCTATACAAGATATTTTTGATGAAATTGGTAATAACTATGTAGGGAAAGACAATTTGTACCTTCTCAGTTCAGCATCCCTGAGGGAGGAGTGCTGAGGAAACAGAACATTTTACATCAAGCAGTAGTAGGAAGTATGTCTGTGTTGTGACTATGTTTAGCAGGAGAAAAAATGTTGAAGTAGTGGGGAAGCAACTTACTGGTGGTTTTTATTCCACAGATATCAAGGGAAAATGCTATTCAGTGTTGTACAAAAGGATCCCAGTGTCATACAATAAATCTGGGCTGGAGGATGGAACTTAAGGCTGGCCTGAAGATGCAGTTTAAATTCCATTGTCACATTCAGATGCTTTGTTGTGATTTAATTTTTTTTCTCTACTTTTTTTAAAGGACACCAGAAGCAAATTCTCGTGCCTCCAGTCCCTGTCATGAGGTGGAGCAGTTCCAGATAATTCCTGCAGTAGAAACTTCCTACCTTGCCAGAGCTGGAAAGAACGAGTTCCTAAACCTGGTTCCTGATATTGAGGAAATCAGACCAGGGTAAGTTTTTTATTGTTGTGTGATTGTGGCTTCCCAAGAACTGTCACAGGGGCTTTCTGAGATTCTTAGGTTCTGTGCCCCTTTTGAAGAAGGAAAATGAACAGGTGATAGCAGAGCTGCAGAGTCCTCTGTGATGGACTGGGGAAGACTGTCAGACTTTTGCATGGCTGTTGAGGACACCATTCAGCTTGTTTTAGAAGAACTTTTTCAGAATACTGTTGCAGACAAAACATATTAAGGACCAAGTGTCTTACACAGTGTTTTGCAGTTAACAGGAATACTCAGGGAAAATCTGTTTCTGTTTTTGACGTGGGTTTGTTTTTTCCAGCTCTGTGGTGTCAAAGAAGGGATACCTCCACTTCAAGGAGCCACTCTCCAGCTCCTGGGCCAAGCACTTCGTGGTGGTTCGCCGTCCCTATGTTTTTATTTACAACAGTGACAAAGATCCTGTAGAAAGGGGACTCATAAACTTATCCACAGCTCAGGTGGAATACAGCGAGGATCAGCAGGCCATGGTGAAGGTCAGTCTGAGAGCTGTTGTTTATTTATCCACAAAGCAAGAACACTACAAGTAGCAGTGCATCTGTACCATCAGGTGTGTCATCTCTGGTGCGAGCAAAATGGATCTGAGTCGTGGAGACACTGAGGATCCTGCCCACAAAGTTCCCACTTTGTTCAGGGTTTCTTATGGTTTTGGACACAGTTGTACAGAGTGACCCTGGCTGCTGTCACACATCAGATTAGCTTTTAGGAGCATGGGTACCATCACCCTGCATGTTGGGTTTTTGCAGCTTCCTTTGTAAGTTTTTTTGGGCTTGTGTGTTTTGTTTGTTTAAAAACAAAACCCCACAAAACAACACATACAAACAACATACAAACATCCTGCAAGGAATCAAATGAACTCTACTGGTCCATCTCTTAAAGCCCACACTCAGCAGTTAAGACTCTCTTTTGTAGAAGATAATGAGTAATAATACCCAGGAAATCAGCAGTGAGACATCAGTGAAGGAGGGATGTGACGGAGCAGATTCTCTCAGAGAGGAAATGTGCATCAGCCCTGTGCTTGTAGACTTTGTGTTTAGATTGTCCTTCGTGTTGCAGACACCCAACACGTTTGGAGTGTGCACGAAGCACCGCGGGGTCCTGCTCCAGGCCATCAATGACAAGGACATGAACGACTGGTTGTACGCCTTCAATCCTCTCCTTGCTGGCACCATCCGGTAAGAGGCAGCGCGGAGCTGCCGAGGGACGAGCTCAAACCCAGATGGTTGGGCACAGATTCCAGTTTTGCTCTCAGGAATTTGACAAGATGTGGGAACTGGAGGAGGGAGGAGAGCAGACAGAAAAAACCCCCAGAACAATCAGAAAACAAACCAGCCCTGTATTTCAGGAACTGCAGGGGCTGTTGTTTTGGCTTGTGATGTTCTGAACAGCCATGTCCAGTTTGAACATGTGTGGGATGCTGTGTGTGGAAACCACAAGATGGTTTCCTTGTATTGCCTTTTACAAATTTATAAAGTTTCTTACTTCCTCTGTGCTGGACTACCTTTTTAGGTTCTTGATTATGAGCTACAGCAGAAATTACATTCCCTTTTATAACTCTTCTGGCAGCCTCTCCATTATCACAGACAGCCCCTGCTTGCTGGACACATCTTACTGCACTGCAGTAGCTCTTCCTTTCAACAAAAAAACCCCAAACGTAAAAAGCGAAGCTGTTACCATACCATCAAATAATTTCTGAACAGTGAAGCCCTTAAATGATCCCTTCTCCCATTAAAGAAGCAGAGAAGTGAGATTTCTTCCTCATTACAGCCCTGGATACATTTTACTTTCTTAACATACGGAGTAAACTAGGTCTGTACCAAAGAATTAAAAAAAAAAAAAGGTGGATGAACTTTGGGGAGGGAGTTAAAATGAACTTTCATAATTCACCAACGACTTTTTCCCCTTTGTTTTTGTGCAGGTCAAAGCTGGCTCGGAGACGCACGGGCCAGATGAAGTACTGAGTCCATGAAATGTTCTCATCTGTCCTCCCCACTCACCTTCCCACAGATAGTGTTACCTCTCATTTTCTCTTCGTGATTCTTGACGGTTTCTCTTGTATGTAATCCTGTGGCTTAACATCCCCCCCTTCCCCACTCCTTCAGCACATTTTCTAGGTATTCTAACCCTACCTTGTTTCTTTTCACCTGTACCTGAATTGTACTAGTAGCATGTGGCCAAACAAAAAGAGAAAGAAAAAAAAAATCAAAAAAAGTGATTATGCACGACTCTAAAAAGAAAAAAAAAAATTTCCTATAACAATTGTTTTCCCATTTCAACTGACCTTTTGGTGTCTGTCCCACTGTCCACTGTCTGTCTGGACTGCTACAGGGTTTTCATTCAATTTGTGACTTGGCAGTGGTCATTGGTTCCCTCAGGGCAAAGTTCCAACGCCAGGGAAAGATAAATTGTTTAATGGAGACGTTACCCAGCCAGGAACTGCAATAGCTCCTCAGGCTTTCTGGATCCAGCCTCGAAGTTAAACTCTGGTGAAAGCTGATATTGGACAAATCTATCTGGACAGACTGGATTTTGGACTTTGTGCAAGTTTCTGAGTTTCCAGGGTCCAGCAGGCTAAGGCATGAGCTAGGAAAAGGTAGGGAACAAACCAGGAGGGGCTGGCAGAACAATCTGCCTTTAAACTCCTGCTGTGGGGGCTGCAGGTGAACAGTGCTTGGGTTTAACTCTTTCCCAGAAGAGTTTCCATCCACATGCACTCCTCAGCCTCTGACCTGGGCTGAGCAGACTGTGCTGGTATGAGGGGAAACAGACCACAGACTGAAATATGAGAGAAAATCCCGAGAATTTCAGATGCTCAAGCCAGGTATTTGACAGATGGGGAGTGTTAAATGGAAATGAAAGTGCAGTTGGTCCCTGGATCACCATGGAGGGCAGATCCCCTCTTCCTGCTTTTAGTCCTGACTTCCATGATCTGCAGGAACAGTTCTCACCTCCCTTGGCTGTGTCAGGGTAGCAGCTGTGCAGCACTGATCCCAAGGGTCTGTTTGTGCATCCCTGACCTGCAGTGCTCCCGTGTCACCCCAGCTGTCCCTGGCAGCACCCAGGGTCTGTGGAACACTTCCCGGGCCCAGCACCTGCAGTGTTCTCCAGGGAGCTGCAGGACACTTTCAATTCCTTTTGAAACAACTGCTGAGTGTCTCCTCATTTCCCTGCTGCAATTTTCATCAGCTAAACCCCACTGCATTCAGTTAACCCTTCTGGAGAACAGAGCAAGTGGATCTGGTCTGGTCAGTGGAATGTCATGATTGGCTTCTTGGACATCAGCTGGGTGGTGTCAGTTCTTGACCTGCAGTGTAAGTTCTTGTGGCCAAAGCTTTGGTCCTTGCCCCAAGAAAGAGGAGCAGAATGAATTTCCTTTGGGGGAAGTGAACTCCTGTCTCTCAGTCAGGTGTTGGGGGTGTTGTGTGCTCTTTCCTGCTGTGTTATCCTTCCTTGCTGCACCCAGGGCACTGATGGGGCTGGCTCTGGTCCTGGGCAGTGTAAAGGGATTTCATCTGGAGCTCCAGCCTCGCCAGGGAGAGGTGAAAGGCTTTGTCCCTCTCCTGCAGTGGCACAGCAGGCTCATTTGGGGGCAGGCCACGCGTGCGTGGGACTGGAACCTGCTGAGGAAGGGCTTTGCTTTGTGGGTTCGTGTTCAGAGCAGGGCAGTGCAGTGAGACCTCCTAGCAGGAGGAGGGCAAAGGAGCAGGGAGATGGAGGCTGACCATACCTTCACATATCTGGAGGTAGTTCTCAGCAGCTCACATGCTCATGCTGTCTCTGTGGTCCTCAGATTTATTTCAGAACTGGAAGCCAGAGTGAGGGAGCATCCTGGGGACCCAGGAACATGATAGGGATAGGGTTTGGGTTTTTTTTTTTTTTTTCCTTCTGTTTTTGTCTTGTTTAACTGTGTGTGACTCTTGATACAGTGGTGATATTCCTTTGTTATGCAATGATGATAAAGCACTTCCAGTGTGTGGATAAAACTGCTTGTCCTGCAGGAGGGCTCCTCACACTGCAGCTAAGCTGATCTCAAGAATTAGGTTAATTCTAAGCATTAAGTTATTGCTGCCATCACCACTGTTTATAATGACAGTGGAACCTGTTTGAGGAGGCAGAGTGATTGAGGTGGTGGTAGGTTGTGACACACTGAGAGCATTTTAACTTTTATCTGTTTCTTTTTTTTAACTAGAAAAAAACTAGTTTTCTAAGTCTTTGCTTTGGATAAGCCAGAGAATGAACCAAGTGGTTATAGGCATTGCACAAAATCATGATTAAGGGATCTTCCTTTAAAAGCAGGAAGAGACAGATGCTTATTTTATAGAGAGCTTGAAGTGTTGCATAAATGTCACTCTTCTATCTTAAAACTCCAAGCAAATTCTGGAGGCTTGAGGTCTGAGTGGATAGTGGATCATCAGCACAGCAAAATTCTGGTTTTAAGCAGCAGCATCTCTTAAAGCTGCATAATCTGTAACAAACTGGGTCCTTGTTGTGTGGAGTTCAAATGGGCATTTCTGTTTTCAGGTCTGACATAAAGGCAAAGTTCTTTTGCAATTACTGAAGTCTGCTTTGAGACATTTGGGTTTCCCTACTTAAAACTGGACTGAGACCAGCCCAAGTTTTCTTTAAAGAGATAACAAACCAAACAAATAAACAAATATAAAAAGTGAATTTCCATTCATTTCAAAGCTTAGCCCAACATGTTAGAAATTTCTTTTTGGAAGCAGAATGAGGAAGGAAAAATATGCTAAGTTGCCTTCTGCTGACACTCCAGAGGCCATTCTTGGTTACCTGCTGTGTGTGTGAGTCCCAGAGTCAGCCAGCTCTGGGGCTCAGCCTCTCCAGATGAGACAGCCTGCTGTGGGCCTGCCAGCCCGTGGGGACACGCAGCAGCAGGGAGCTTGGTGGGCATTCCCTGGAGGAGCGAGGCAGACTGGGCTGTATTTGGGATTTTATGCTCCTCACCAAAAGGAAGGAGAAAACTGTCCTTTTTGTACATTGAAAATTATGTTGGATCTTCCTGGGCATTGTAAAATGAAGCTAAACCTCCTATGCTGTGTTTTAGAAATGCACTTGAAGTACCTTTTTAAAGAGGATTCTGTATTCTGGGAATACGGAGGAGAAGGGAGTACTGTTTCCAGAGAGTGTGATTTCCAGACTGCCAGGAAAAGGTTTTTTGTGTCAATGTCTAATAGTCCTTATTACTGATTAACATGGTATTTCAAAGCAAAGACTTTACTTTTTGCTGCTTGTTATCTAATTTACAGGGATTTAATTTTATGTAATGTATTGTATATTTATACATCTGTAATTAATTGCACATTAGATAAGAAAGAGGATTAGCTTCGGTCTAACACCCACTGGTACTAAACTGCCTGTGCACGTGGGTCTGCCTGGGCTCCTGCCCAGCAGAGCTGGGGCAGCTGGTGCTGTGCTGGGTGTTGTGCTGAGGATGCAGCTCTGACCTGCTGGAGGAGGAAGGGTCCTGCTGCTGGCTGTCCCTGCAGCGGCTCCGACGCGTGCGTTGATCTCTCCGTGTAGTCACTAACCCAGTCTGTGCTCTGGCTGTAGTGTCTGTAGCAGGATCTCTTAACTTCGTGCTTCCTTGTTTCAAAACATCAGCTGCTCAAGAGCAGGACTGACTTTTGTTCAGAAGGCCATTTATGTGTTCCGTGTATTTGAAATCAAAACTAGTCCAACACTAACCAGATGGTTGTGTCCAATGTCATTGGGAACAGGATTCCAATTGCTGGGGTCAGCTGTGAATTCAGAAAACTGGTGTGGAGCTCCTGAGTCTTCAGTTCTTGATGTTGCCAGGTGAAGGGGCTGCCCCTGAGCAGGGCTGAATTCACCTCTTGCTTGCCTGGGAACCAGGGACTGCAAGCAGAGGGAGTCTTGAATGATCAGCACTTGCCGGGATCAGGTCTGAGTTTTCCACTTTGCTTGTTCATATTTCATGTGCAGTTGGTCATGGCTCCCGAATTTGGACATCAGACATCCCTTGGAATTGCAGTCCCCACGTCCCTGTTAATCTCTGTACACAAGGTATACAAGGTAAATGCTGTATAAGTGGCCTTCTTGAACAAATCTCTTTGCAAACTGACTTCATCCCAGCGAAGGAGTGTATCAGCAACACTGTACATTAATTTCAGGTTTTCATTTTCTTATTTTATTTTGTAAATATATCCGATATTTGGAGCTTGAGTATACAAAATGTAAATATAGTTCATGTATTTGTACTAATTCTGATCCATTTGCTGTATAGCCTTAGGTGTGCAATGCAGATATCTAACTGTGTATGGTAACCTTGCACCACTGAATTGTTAGTGAACGAGGTGAAACAATAAAGGTACAACCAGTGCATTAGCAGACAGAATGTGTGCTCCTCTCATTATGATTTAATTGCTTGTATCTTATGTCGATTACTTGTTTTTAAAACCTGTGCTGAACAAGCCGACGCTTTAATGAAATTTATCTCGACTGCCCTTGAGAAAGAAGGGGTGCCCAAAATTAAGGTGAACCAAAAACTTGATGGGCCGGATTGCTGCGGGTCATCTTGTTTGGGAAATCACTTATACAGAACTTAGCAGAAACTGCGGTCTCGAGGTGCGTGTGTCCGATACAGCGGAGCGGAGGGGGCAGCGCCTTTGTCCTGGGGTCGCCTCGGTGCCGACGGAAGGACACGTTCGTCAAGTTTGTCAAAGGCAAACGGGCAGCGCTGACAGCTGAGGGCTGCCTGCCGCCGCGTTCGGTGTCGGCGGCGCAGTCGAAGCCCGTTCAGAATAATTCCTGATGACAAACCGCGGTACCCTGCGGGCCCAGGAGTGCGTATGGCTGGGAACAGAGGCACAGCGGACGGCGCGGGGCAGCTGCGCGGCTCCTCCGCGGGCGGGCCCGGCCGCGCCACTGCCGCTTTAAGGGGGCGTGGCCTCGAGACATCGGGCCATGGGCGGGGGGCGGAGTCTCTTCAGGAGCCAATGGGCGCCCTCGGCCCCGCCCCGCCCCGCCCGCGGCTGATGAGAGGAAGCGGCGCGCGGTGCAGGCCGAGCCCGCAGAGCCCCGAGGGAGCGGAGAGAGCCGAGAGACCCGAACGGCGCTGCCATGGCCGAGTGAGAGCGGGGCCCGGGAGCGGGCCGGGGCTGCGGTGCGGTGGTGCGGTGCGGTGCGGCGCGGCGCGGTGCGGTGCGGTGCGGTGCGGTGGTGCGGCGCGGCGCGGCTGCAGCCGGCTCGCGGCGCCGGGAGGCCCCGGTGCGCTGTTCGCCGCGGGGGCTCTGCCCGGTGACTCCGCACGGGCTCGGCCCTGCGATCTGCTGCAGCAGCAGCTGGCAGAATGAAGTGCCCGTGTTCCTGAGGAACGGACGGGCTGCCCTGGCAGCTGGCACGGTCAGAACGGCCTGGCAGGTAGCGATGCTGCTGCTGGGTCACTGCTGCTGACTTCCCCGGCATTTCTGTTCTTTCACATTCCAGAGCTGACATTGCTTTGATTGGATTGGCCGTGATGGGCCAGAACCTGGTTTTGAACATGAATGACCACGGCTTCGTGGTAAGTGAATAAACAATTGTTTAGGAAGGCTGACAGCAGCACTTGGGATTGGAGCTGAGCATTTTGTGGGTGCTTCCCCCGCAGCTGTGATGATCTCATGGGTGTTACTTCCTCCTGTTAGTTGTACCTGGGCTGGCCTTTGTCCTGTTTCCAGAGAAGAACAGCGGTGCATGCCTGTACTCAGCTGGCACCTGATATGTTAATTATGCGTGACTTTTCCCTGAAGTTTGCCTTGGCCTTGCCTTAGCCACAGGTTCCCGAGGCACTTGCAAAGACATGCTCAGGTTCATCCCTGCCCTGGGCCTGTTTCGAAGGTGGAAGTGGGAGAGCACAGGATGCTGAACCTTGCTTGTATAATTTGTAGTCTGAGCTAAAGTTACTGTTCCACTGGCAGCTTTTATGAACACGTTTTCTTGCCCGCCCAGGTTTGTGCTTTTAACAGGACGGTTTCCAAAGTGGATGATTTCCTGGCTAACGAGGCCAAGGGAACCAAAGTGATCGGTGCTCACAGCCTGCAGGAGATGGTCTCCACGCTGAAGAAGCCCCGTCGCATTATCCTGCTGGTGAAGGCTGGAAGTGCAGTGGATGACTTCATCAATAAATTGGTGAGGCAGACACTCATTCTGCATGAGGCTTCTTGCTGTCTTTTGGAGGAGTTTCCTCTGGAAGTTCTCAGTTATTCATCATTAGTGAGGTTTTGAATGTATGGAGAAAACCAAAATGCTGGTTTATTTTTGACAGGTGCCGTTGTTGGAGACTGGAGACATCATAATTGATGGTGGGAATTCTGAGTACAGAGATACCACGGTAAGCCTGTTTCCTACCTAAAATGAATGAACGAAATCCACACGACTTTTCCACTTCTGGTCGTCAGAATAGTCCATCAATAAGATGCCATCAGCCCTGTGCTCTGGAAAAGCCAAAGTGATTTCTGCAAAATTAAATCATGCAGCCTATTAAAAAGCAATTAAGGACTGCACTATAAGAATGTTTTTATGGAAGTTACCCAGATCACCAGAGAATATTTTTTTCAATGTGTTTTAAAGAGTGAAGGCCTTTAGAAAATTTCATTTTACAATCTTAGGAGTTTTCAGGGAGATTTATAAGTCAAAGGATATTTATAGATTTGTTGCTGTTTCTTAATCCTTCGTGATTGCAGGACAGTCCAGCAAGACAGAACTGCTGGTTTGGCTGTCTTGGTGGTGGAAGCAGCAGAGTAGTTTTGTGCTTGTGAGCAGGCTGTAACGGTGGAAGTTACAGAAGCTGCATTAGCCTGTCTGGGGTGCTCACGTGAAAATATTGCATTCAGATTGGTGTTTCTAAATCTTAGAAGAGGTGCTCGTGCTCGTGTTCCTGCTCCGACGTCTGATGGTGGATAAGCGAGCTGGCCATGCCAGAGTGAAAAGCCCAGTGAGGGTCAGTCCTTGGGGATCCCAGCCTGTGCCCCTCTCCAGCTCAGAGGCAATTACTTGCCCTTAGAGTTTTCTGTGCTTGCAGCTTCGCTCTGCAATGAACTCAGCAACTCCACCTTGGGCCTGATCTGCCTCCCCCACATCTTCACACAGAGCATGTGTCACCTGACACCTAATTCCAAGCCTTTTCTGGCTTCAGTGCTGCTCATGTCTATCTGGTGCTCATAAGGACCTGTTTTCTCACCATGTCACTTTTGCAAGGACCCAAAGCAACAGGGAATTTTCCTAATGCTCACTTTGGTGAATGAACAAGCTTTCTTAAGGTTGGCTTCTAGCACATCCAAAGCAGAACTGAAAACCTAATTTTACATCTGAATTGCTAGCTTTTGTGTGGAAAGCTCTGGCACGAAACAAAATTAAACAGTGCTGCTCTGCTCTTTGTTCCAGAGGCGTTGTAAGGAGCTACAGGCAAAGGGCATCTTGTTTGTGGGAAGTGGAGTCAGTGGTGGGGAGGAGGGTGCCAGATATGGACCTTCTCTCATGCCAGGAGGAGCCAAGGAGGCCTGGTAAGCATGAACTACTGTATTTTCTTGTTCAGAATGGTTTGCAACAATTCACATTGTGCACTGAGGGAGGGAGGAGGGTGTGGGTGTGGAGAGAACAAGATATGTTGCCATCTCACTTCCTCAAGGCTCTAGATTTCTCAACTTGGCTGGGGTCATGGGGCAGTGCTAAGCCTTCATGTAAGGCAGAACAAAGGCAGCTTTTCCTCCAGGAATCCACAGGCAAAAGTAGGACTTACAGACATCTGAAGGGAGAAGGGAGTTTTGCTTAAATTTTAAACAAGTATTATTTCTTATTTTTCTCTTTTGAGGCTGTACACACTTGGGAAGCTGCTAACCATGAATCAGGCAGCAGCAAATGGCCCTGTAGTGACACCTTACAAAAGGAGCTTCAGTACATGTTTGTACTACTGTTGAATGCATCAGTTTATTTGCAAGTTTCTGCATGCTGCTGTGCTGTTTTGTACTCATGCCTCAGTAAAGGACTGCACATCAATGCTCATATTAGACTTTATCCCCGGTTGCCCATTCTCTGTATAGATGTGGAAAGAAAAGGTGTGCCTAGGCTTTAAGTGAGCTTTAGTATCTCTTGAGCCCCTGTCCATTTGCATTAGTGTTTCACACCTGTATCAGCCTGTTCAAACTTGATGGCACAGAGCCACCAACAACAGTTTCTGCCCAGTCATCTTTTGCCTTGATCAGCTAAGGACAGACAGCTGTGCTCAAATGGAGAGGATGTCTGGGCTCCTTGAAGGGCACTGTGCTTGTCCATGCAGTGTTGGAAGCATGACTTGATTGTTCCAATGTCTTGCAAACTGTCTACTTGGGAAAAACATATTTAATTGGCATTGCTGTGTGGATGGGTTATCAACCTGCCCAGTGCCCTCAGCCCAAGCTGCCTTTGGCAGGTTACAGAAGGAGGCATCATACTGGTAGATTTGATTTGTTTTCTCTTGTGGTGTTTGTATCCCCTGCCTGGCTGCTAAGGTGTATTCTTTCTCCCCACAGGCCCCACATCAAGACCATATTTCAAAGCATTGCTGCTAAAGTGGGATCTGGGGAACCTTGTTGTGACTGGGTAAATAGTCATTTGATACTGACCCTAGCCTGGGGTTAGAGCCAAGCTTAGGCAGTTTGGTTGCTGAAGCTCATGGATGTGTGTCCACAATGAACACAGCACCATCAGTGGTTGATTTTCTGGCTGTGTTCATTTCCAATCCACCATCTCTGATAACTCATGCCATGCAGTGGAAAGACAAAGTTCTGTGGCTGGGTCATGTGCTGGGGGAGCTCAATGGACCTGTGACCCACTGGTTTCAGTCAGCACTGTCTTTGGTTCCCTCCTTTAGGCAGAAGGAAGCCATGGGCAGGTATTAAACACTGGAAGTGATGACGATGCTGTTGCTGAGGGGATTTTTGGATGTTTCTGAACAGGTGGGAGAGGAAGGAGCTGGACATTTCGTGAAGATGGTGCACAATGGGATTGAGTATGGAGACATGCAGCTAATCTGTGAGGCCTATCACCTGATGAAAGATGTGGTGGGCATGGAGCACGATGAGATGGCAAAGGTGATTTGCAGTTTTTAATGTCTTTCCTTTCTTTGTGCCATGGTCTGTGTGCCACTGGTGAGGTGCTGGGCTTGGGTAAAGCTGCTGCATGTCCATGAAGTGAATTTTTCTGACATGCCTCCTGCAAGGGTGGGGCACAATATTCCTCATGAGCTTTACAAGAGATAGGAGCAGTGAGCACAGACAGCTGAATGCTTACAAAAGTTGTATAAACCTCTTCCTATGCTACAGTTGATTTCTCTCCAAGAAGCACCTTCATGTACAGAGATGTGAACTACCTTGCCTGAAA